AATTTTACACCTCTATAAGTGCCATTCCAGCCAAGATCTAGAACATACTCATCACTCCTTTCCAGTCAAATGCTCTTGTCCTTGTAGGAAAATACTGTCCTAACCTCTCCAAACACGGATTCATTTGTCTTGTTTTCGGCTTTTTTTAGAAATGATCCCCTGTGGTGTGTAATACTGTTTATTCATTTCCATTGCAATGTAGTGGTTTGTTGTGTGAACATACCATCGTTTATTTACACCTTCATGGGCTTTTCAGTTGCGTACACTTGGGGCTGTTATAAATGAAGCCATTGTGACCTTCTTGTGCAGGGTCCTCTGTTTACTGTTAGACATTTGTAGTTAGATCTAGAGCAGCAGTTCTCAACCTGTGGGTCGCAACCCCTCTGGAGGTCAAACGACCCTTTCACAGGGGTCACCCGATTCATAACAGTAGCAAAATGACAGTCATGAAGTAGCAAGGAAAATAATGTTATGGTTGGGGGTCACCACAACGTGGGGAACTGTATTAAAGGGTCGCGGCACGAGGGAGGTTGAGAACCACTCATCTAGAGGCTCCCTCTGTTGAAATTCATGAGGTCAGGCAAACTGTATGCTCGTGTGACCAAGGGGTGACATCTGACCCGTCCATGGTGGGCATCTGGGTCGTCGGGTCATTCATCACCATGCTGCCCATTTATCTGTGTCTTTGTCTGGTGGAGTACTATGCAACACTGAACATCGACCAAAACCTTGACATGCCGCAATCTGGATGAATCTCCTTGTGAGCAAAGCAGATCATTGTCGCCTCCCCTTGTCTGTGGTTTGGCTTTCTCCTGTTGGCATTAACCAGCAGGCTTCTCTAAGTAGCTTGATAAAATCTCTCCATCCTGAGCTCTCTGGAAGGGGGATTCTTCCTCTGTGGGCACAAGCCTGCAGGCATCTGACTGGCTAATGTTACCCATACAGGGCATGCTGGGTACCTGTCTTATGAACGCATGTGCGGTGGAGGTGTGTGGGATTGTACATAGGGAAGGAAAGGGGGTTTCAAATAGCACATGGGAAAATTCCATCATCTTTTCATTCCTTTTTCCACAAATGTTTTGGAGCCTGCCCACATAGGGGTTGGTACTATCTGAAGTTCCAGGTCTCTATTGGGAGTCTTGGAACTTCTCCCTGAAGATTAGGGGGTCGGAGGATGAGTGTCCACAGAGTAATATTGATTCCGGAAAGGCGGGAGACGAGCAGAGGATCATGCTGAATCTTAGGGTGGTGGGTGGTCATTGTGGGACAGGAGAGTGACAGCAATCAAGGGGTCCCGTGAGGTGCTGGCCGTTTGGTAACCTGGGTGGTGGTTACGCTGGTGTTCATTGTGTGAAAATTCACTGAACCCCGAAGCTTATTTTCTGCTCTTCTCTGTATTTTTATGTGGAGTTCCATCATAAAATCAGATTTTAAAAGAGAGTGGGAGGCGAAGCCGGGAGACGGCAAGTGTGTGATTCTAAAAGGAGCGAGGCAGGGGTGGGCGTCCACCCGAGCCCGTGCCCGGAGCCTTGCTCCCCTGCGGAGAGCACAGAGAGCAGGGTGCCTGTGCGCGGTGGGGCGTCGGAGAGAGGACCGTCGGAGTCGGGGGATCCCAGGCTGGTGTAGTTGTGCTCTCAGCGGCCAGCCTGAAGGTTGGAGAGTTCTGTTCACCCCAAGGCCCCTTGGAAGAAAGGATGGGGGGATGTCCTGCCCCCAGATCAGCCATTCAAAACCCTAGGGAGCACACCACTCCTACACTGGCCCCATGGGGTCTCCCAGAGAGGGCGGTGGGTGACTCAGTGGCAGCTGGTCGAGATGGCCGCTGACCACAAAGCCACAGCCTCGTCTGCAAGGAGTGATGCCAGTTCAGTATCCCGAGTCCTTGTCTCTGACTCTTTCTGCTCGAATGTCTTCTCCATCATTGACGTTAGCGATGTATCTAGTTAGGCATCCTGAAGTATTAGGCATCCTGAAGTACTTAAATGCCGTTGTTATGTCGTTCCATAAAAGTACATTTACCAGAATTTATTTGATGGCTCAGTTGATTTTCTGTCATCTTTAGCGAAACTGCTGTCTAATTTCTCCCTGAGGTGTGGGGTGGTGCTCTGCAGGCTGCTTTAGAGAAAGAGCGGAGCCCTGGCGGCATAGTGGTTATGCATAGGGCTGCTAACCACGAGGTCTGAAGTTCGAAACCGCCAGAGGGTCTGAGGGAGAAAGATGGAGCTTTCTACTCTCGTGAAGAGTGGCAGTCTCGGAAACCTGCGGGGCAGTTCTGCCCTGTCCCATGTTTGCTGTGAATGGCACTGACTCGATGGCAGTGAGTGTTGTCAGGGAGAGATGGCCCCATCGCTGCTGCTGTCTTCTCTTCCTTGGTGGGTCGACTCCCACCCTTTCCCCAAGCTTTTGATACACTCAACACTAGGCAGGAATCTGAAAGACATTCTGCTGAAAGAAAGAGGGGGAAAGAGGGGGGAAGGAGGTGGGGCGAGGACCCAGGCTCAGAGGTTACACAATGTATGGTCCCATTTATATGACACTTATGAAAAGTTAAAATTAAAGTGGCTGCCAGTGCTTGTGTGTGGCTATAAAAGGTGAGCACTCATGCATTCTTGGGGGGCATGGAGCAATCCTGTTTCCTGATTATGGGGTTGTGGTTTGACTGTGTTTGTGCTTCAAACCCCATAGACCTATGCACGCATACCCGAAGTGAGTAGGATTGGTGAGAGTACAGAACAACTTGATCTCTTCCTGCACTGCTACACCGTGAGAGTGCAAGTGGTTACAGCCTTGTGTTAGTCCCGGTTGACTAGAGAAACAAATCCAGAGGCACGCATATGTGTATAAAGGAGAGCTTTCTATCAAATAGTAATTGTATAATGAGAAAACATCCCAGCCCAATCCAGAGCAAGTCCATAAGTCCGATATTAGCCCATAGGTCCGATACTAGTCTATAAGTTTCTCTTTAGACTCATGCAGCCATGCAGTGATGCTGATGCAGGAAGATCACGGGTCAGTGGTGGGAAGTCTTGTGAATCCAATGCCAGTGGAAGCATCTCCAGGACTCTGGTTGCCATCAGTGTGGCTCCATGTGGCTTGTCAACAGGAAGGCGAAGCAGAGAGAGTATGTGTCCCGCCTCCTGGAAGGAAGACATGAGTTCCCAGAATCCTCAGGAGAAGGCCATGCCCACACAGAGGCCTCATTGGCTATGACTAGATGGACAGGCTAGACTCCACCCCTTCACTCAAGTTGACAGGAGATTATGTAACTGCCACAAGCCTCTTTGGAAAATGATCTCACCATATTTACTGAAGCTGCTCTCGTGTACAGAAATGTGCACCTGTAGTAACTGAAGAAGGAAGTGACAAAGGCACCACGTCTGACTTCCTCCAGCTTCTCAGGGGGGTAGGAAAATCCAGCACCCCATCCGTGTTGCCCCAGGTGGATGTCTATGAGGCTGCACTCAGGACTCCTCCACCCTCCGTCCTTGTACTCTATTCTGACACCAGCCAGCCCCCATCTCCCCCACCCGCCCAGGCTCCATGTGCATGGCTGGGTTCCATAATTCATGACAGCGGCCACGCAGAACTCACAGACAATGCTCACGATGATGGGGTTTATTAGGAAAATTAGCAGGTTATAGTTCCGGTGAGCACTGCTCAGGATACAGTTGTTCAGTCAGGGCAGTTTCTTCTCTGTCGCTCGCCCTGGTCTCTGCCCTGCTTGGGCAATGTTACAAAGCTCTTGGGCGGCTACTAAGAAATGTCAAGGGGCATGCCACTCCACTATAAGGCTCGCCCCTAAAAATTTTTTTAAATAAAAATAATAAAAGCCTGGCCCCTAAGGCACTCCATGGGTCAGCAGAAACAGCTCCCCCAGGTGAGTGCCCAGCGGTGCAACAAGCCAGCCCTGCTGCCCAAGGCATTGGGTTGTACTTTAGTGAACATGATGTCCTTTGTCAGGGGTGGCTCTGTGCTGACAACATGACCAAAGTACGAGAGATGAAGTCTTGCCATCGTCGCTTCTAAGGAGCAGAATGGCAATCACAGTTAACTTGTTAACCCCCCACAACTGAAACATATAATCAATATCTTCCCCACCTTCTTTCCCAGGCTCGTTAGGAAAACAAAGGCTCTGCATTTCAGTGACCAGAAGAAACGTGTGTGAATGGTTAGCCCTAGTCCCAAGAGCCCAAACGGCAAAGTAGTCTGAAGCCCATTAGTAGTAGAATGGAAGAATAAATTACTTTCCCAGAACAAAATATTATACAGTAAAAATAAACCAGTGTACAGAATGGTGGATGTTTCACAAACAGATTGTTGTGAGAAATAATTCAGAGACAGAGAAAATATATTGGCTATCACTGGTTCTCCGACTGTGGATGCTGGGACTTCTTGGGGGCCCCTCAGACCTGCAAGATGAAAGCCTTTTTTATATTATTTCTAAGAATATTATATGCCCTTCTCTGATCTCATTCTCTGACCTCATACAGTGACGTTTGAGAGGCTGTGTGGGTCGGGGGCCAGTCAGGAGATGAAAATCACAATAACCCGAATAGGGAAAGTTTAATATAAATCATTACCAACTGCAGTGGAATGAACTGTAAGGAGTAAAAGGTAATTCTAAAGGACGCCCGGCATGGATGCAGCACCAAGACAGGGAAACCCTGGAGTGAGGCCGCCTCTCGAAGGCTGGGATGTAGACCTTGGAGAAAGTCTGGGTGTTGGCATAGTGCTTATGCATCGGATTGCTAATTGCCAGGTCAGTAGTTCAAAACCACCGGCCGCTCCTCCTTGGGAGAAAGACGGGGCTTTCTACTCCCTGAAAGAGATACAGTCTCAGAAACTCACAAGGGCAGTTCTGCCTGTCCTATAGGGTCATTGCGGTGAAGCAGAACCACTCCAGGAGTGCCAAAGCTTGTGAGACTTTCCAAGAATCAGCCTGTGAGGTTCTACTGCGACTCAATGAGGAAGCTTCTGGAAGCTGTGCAGTCGGGGCACGAAGGAAACAGATAGAAGCACCCAGCACTGGACGAGCAATGCCTCCCTCTGACGCGTCCCTGTGCCCCCCTCTGCCACGAGTTTAACACAAGAGCCGTGCTTAGGGGCCCCTTGCTGTGATCTCCGTTTGTGCACATTCATTTATTCTCCGTCGCAAAGGTCCCTTTCCTTAAAGGCATTTGTTTACTCGGTCTCCAGGTGCAAAACCAAGGTGTATCCAGATGCTCTCCCTACAACCAGTGTGGTGATTGTTTTCCACAACGAGGCCTGGAGCACCCTCCTGCGAACTGTGCACAGTGTCATCAACCGCTCCCCACGGCACATGCTGGAGGAAATTGTCCTGGTGGATGACGCCAGCGAACGAGGTACCTTGTGAGTGATGCTGCCAGGAATGGGCTGTCCCTTAAGGGACTGCGGTTTTGGGGG